TCTTGAATATTCGTTTAATATGAGCAACTCCTGCATCAGCTAATACATCTCGATGTAATCGTTCACTATCACCATTAAAAAAACTTGCACTAGCTTTTGCATCTAGAACCCATACACCTAAGATTTCTAACGCTCTTTGTTCATTATTAGCATCTTCTACATAAATAATATGATTTCCTTCTTGTCGTTCTCCAAGTAATCTATAAAAATAAGTTTTTTCAATAAAGCCATCTCGAGCAGTTTTGGATCCCATAATTAGTATTTTCAATCTATTTCGTTCTGTATCATTAAAACGTTCTTCATACCACGGTCTGATTTTTGTATCAAGCATATCAAGTTGTGCACGTGCAGCTAAATCAATATTAACTGAAAATAAATGTCGTGCTTGTTGACAAAATTCATTCAGCTGAGTTTGATCAATAAATTTTGTTTTTAAAATTGTTTCTAAATATTCTATTGAGAGATCAATGATATCATATTGAGTCTGTTGAATATCTGTTGGAAATTGAATAGAATTTCGAATAGAACGAATATCCTGTAGATATTGTTTTAGCTCAGTATAGTTATCATCAGATAATATTCCTAAATTAAACATAACTGTTAGATAGATTTTGAATGGCATATGTGATATTGATTTTAAATCATGATATAATTTAGGTATGACTTGTTCTTGATAACGTTTACCACGATGAATAATTATAACATTATCTCCATTACATATGATTAATGGATTAGTTATTGAGATTAAATAATCACGAGCATGATCGTATGTTGAAATAAACTTTTTGTTTAGATCAGATAATTCATCAGAATAAATACTTATTATGGATGTAAAAATAAATATGAGTAGTAAGTGATTGTTCCATATCATATTTTGATTCAAACGTTCTGATATCCACAAACCTAATGACTGGAGAGATAAAAAATAGTGAATTGATATTCATAGAAGACCTCGAAGATAGATGTGATGATAACATTTCAATTTATTATATAGGTGAGGGCTGTATCTGAATTGAGTAAATATCTTTTTGAGTAATGTTTTAAGTGTACGATGAAAGTTAGTAAAATAAAGTTCATGCTAACTACAATCAAATTGTTTTCATACAAAGCATACGCATGCATACTTGTTCATCAGAGAGAATTAAAGAATGTGAAACGATGGGATAATAAGAATGAAATAAGATGGACAATACATAAAATAAGAAGAGAACAACGATTCTTATCAAAATAAATACTGATCAATGTAGTTTACGAGATTGTGAACTCGTAAGCTTAAATTATGATGAAGAAATCTAATACAATGCTTTATTACAGGAATGTCTTTGGCAAAATATATTCAACAGTATCCAATCAAAGATATTAGAATATTAGATTATATCATGAGACTTACACAGAAAGGAATGAATAATGTATTCAGTTGTAAAGTTTGAGGTGCTTTCATACATATGTTACCAGGATAGTATTCTATTTCTTCCTTCATCTCATCGATGCATCTCCAAATGACAGATGAAATTAATACGTTTGTTCTTTATCAGTTGATCGAACAATAATTGTTTTCATGGAACCATGATAAGAGCATCCTTCTATTTAATTGTCTACTATGAGTATTGATCATTAACTGTTTTTCATGGTATATATGAGGATCTAATGTTCTCTCTTATGAGATGGCATCAAGAATCACACATGTTGATATGATGACGTCAATGGAATTTGCAGCAAAATGATGAGTATCCTTTTGAATAACATTTGTTCCTCCTGTTTGTACAACAAGTTATCCTTTCCTCCAGATCAGTCTGTTTTATATTGTTAGTGGAGTCCAATTCCATACACGATAGAATTTAGTATGTATGTATTTGCTGTTTATAGTGCGTACATGTAAAAGTTAGAAACACGGTGCTGATATATTCTTTTTTTGCATTCATTATTAAATAAACCATTACAATCTTGTGTTGACCGCATGTTCTTCCATCTAGGCACTCATGAACCTTCATTGTTTCAGCTTTCTTACTGAAAATAAATTTGTTTAATTAATAAATGTTAAAATCTTTTTAGATGAACAGAACTGTATTTTATTAGTTGAGTTTGTATTAAATAATTATTTTATCATAAATATTGTTGTCTGCCATAAATAATCAAATATAATCTGTAAACATTTTAGGTTTTCATATATCAATTATCCTATAATGTGAACTTTACCTACAATTAATAGTGTATAATGTTGTACTTCTCATTGAGGATATTGTGATAGTAGAAGCACGTCATAATATTTACTCTTCAATGGTTTTTGAAAATTCTTCAGAAGGTTTATAAAAGTTGGCAAAGACGTTGTATAAATGTATCAATTATAATTTTTTTTAACAATATAATCATTTCAATCAGTCAACAAATCATCACTATTCTTCATCTAACTAATACTGACTTAACAGATTATGACTATCTCGAATATAATAATAGGAAATTATAATTCATACAGTGAAAATATATATGACTTCTTTCTTCAATAAACTATTGAGGCATTTAGTCCAAAAGATATCACTCATCAATAAACATATATTTGGATGGGTGTGGATATCAATATTCATTCTCCTCTCACATGTTGACCTAAATCCACATCCATCCAACATACCCTTTTTACCTTATTGAATTTAGTTTCATTAGTTATAGTAGATGTTCTTTTCAAAGCAACACATTAAGAGTAATTCATAGAAAACAATCAATTAAATAACATTGTATTTTTAGAAATGATCTATTAATCGTATTTATATTCATGTTTGTTCATTATTAATTCATTTTTAAAACAAAAATCTATTCATACGACTGATAGTTTCAGATCAATCAATATGTTTGCATGTCTTAACGAATAAGCTTTTTCTATTCGAACAATTCCAATAGGTAGAAATCAACAGATTATGTCTTTTATAGCATATATACAGGTTGATTGATTTCTACAAATTCAAGTAAAACAAAACGAATTCTATTACGATCGATTTGTTGAAAACTTTTCACACAGACATTCGTCTATTTTTTATGTTTCTCTTTGACAGTTGTTAAAAGTCATTCTAAAAGATATTAGATATGTCCAGCTTGAAAACTAACTACGCACATCATTCATTTATTCAAACGAAAAACAATTATGACTAAGTATATAGGGTGTATTTCATAAATAATGCCCATTTTTTGTGTTTTCAATCAATCTAACGGTTTTCATCCAATTGAACCGCACTTTTAAAAATAAATAATCATCATTAGACGTTCTACGAAGTCATGCGCAGACACTTTTTCAAGAGCAAAAATTGAGTGAAAAATAAAAGAAGAAGTCATGCCAGATAGAAGTAATCAACTGTCTAAGAGAAAACCTCCAAACCTTTTCCGTTTTTTTGAATCCTGATAATTTTATCTGTCTCTTTAAGTTTCTTCTGTCTGACACTTTGCAGGATGCTTTTTCTGATGTACTATAAAAAACTTCCCTTTAAAGAAGATTAGCGAGTAAAAGCAAGATTTTTTTAAAATGACGTAAAAGTACACTTTTTCTATATTTACTCTAAAAACATAAACCTTTTCATTGTTTGTTTAGATCAGATTAAAAAAAACAACATTTCATACAAGTTATTTGTGCATAATTTTGTGCTCTTTCAAATGGCAATATCAGTCTTTTTTATATTTCAAAGGGGACTAATTAAAATATGAGAAAACTAATTTTCTCCTTGGGAAGTTGATACTTTTACTTGTCAGTATTTCTTCTTTTATTATTCCGCTAGTTTCTAATCTTGAAAAAATGTTTGTGCATGATTTCACAGAGAATTTAACGACGATTTTTTTTAAAGTTTTGCTCAATTGGATAAAAACTGGGCATTATTTATTGAATATCAGTTATTATACACATGACTATTTTCATACCGATAGAAAAGTGAAGAATTACTTTATGTTAAGACGCTTTTTATCAATTAATATATTTAGTCCTCTTGCTTCCTAATGTTTATTTTGAGGACTTTCAACATTTCCGTAGCTACATTTTTGTTGTCATAAAAAATAGAAAACAATTTATCATATAAATGAAAGCGGATATTCCTTCGAGTTTCCTGTCAAAAAAAAATTTCCTGTATTTTCTTTCATTACTGATTGCGATGATAAACATAGAAAGAATGATAAAAGTATATTTTTAATTTTTTCAAAGATTCAACATCGTCATGTCTAATGAATCTTCATCAAGCAATACAATTATTGCAATGCGATTAGTAGAGAAATATTTATATCAATTTGGTTGTCCAGTATTGATGCTTATAGGTACTATCAGTTGCATATTAAATTTAATTATATTTACTCAAAAAACTCTTCGAAAAAATCCCTGTTCACTCTATTTTATTGGATACAATCTTGCTAATTTTCTATATATTTACTCATCATTATTATCTCTCACACTTGGTGTTGGATACAATATTGATCCAAGTGCATACAATCTGATCATCTGTCGTTTACGTCTTTACGCAGTCATTCTTTTCAATTGTCTCAGCCCATTTTATATGATTTTGGCATCTATTGATCGCATTTTGATTACGTCACCCAATGCTCTTACTCGAAAACGAAGCAATCGTCGTCTCGCTTATATATGTATACTAGTTGGTACATGTTTTTGGATGGTATTTCATAGTCATGCATTAATTGCTACAAATATCATTCAACTTGCTCCTAATTATTTTCTTTGCTATTTTTCACCAGGTGTTTATTTTGTTTTCGTAAGTTACTACTCAATTATGAAAGAACTTGTGGCACTCTTATTATTAACAATATTTGGACTATGGTCTATAAAGAATATTCGAAGTATGCGTCGTGTTCGAGCTGCTCCTGATATATCTTTGAGTGGAACTGCCGTAGGAGATAATGCGTATTCTACTTCTTCTAAAGATCGACAACTCGTTTTGATGTTACTGATGGATATCACAATCTATGGGCTATTTAGTTTTATGTATGCGATCTTTCTCATGTATCAACAAATCACTCAAAATGCTATTAAAAATGCTGAACAAATAGAGATGGAAAGCATTATTCAATATTTGTGTTTGTTTGGTATTGGTATTCCATTCTGCACTGGTTGTTATACAAATCTGATTGTATCAAAAACCTTTCGACATGAAGTAAAGAAAGTATTTACATGGATATAAACTTGCTGACTAATTCAGTCAATTTTATTCATGTGAAATCTGCTATTACATGTTGTATGCATTTGTATATGTCACATAGTCACCTATATATTGTAATGATTTTTGTTATGAGATGTTATTGATGTAATTTGATTTTGAAAAAAGAACAATATTGTTTTGTCTACTTTTTCACCTTTTATCAAAAACCGGCTCAAGTATTTCCTTCTTAGTCTATCATTTTTTCTATTCTTAGAAAAGTTTCCGTTTGTACTCGTTTCAAAAGACAAAATCTCTTTTTTTTCTAACCGATAATTATTAGAGAAACAAATAAACTAAAAAAAACAAATCTTACGCTGTATTAGTTACACATCAGCTTCATCACTCTGCTAATAATACTTATGTTATCTGATATTACTTTCAAACATTCTCAGCCATAGTGTAACAATTGAACATATAATATTTCCTTTTTATTGATGAGAATAACCGTTATCATACACTGAACATATATATTTTCAGAGAGCAACTCAAAAATGAAACATAATGAAGTATGCACCAATAACCATATTTTCTTTCTTATTCCATTCGTTTCATCAATGTATTAATTTACATATATGTAAGATATTTAAGTATGAAATCACTTCATAATTATTTTCTATCAGCATCAAAGAATTATCTTTGCGGGATATAATACAATTAATGCTTATTAGAGTATGTGAAAAAGAAATTGAATAAACACAATGAAAGTAATTATTATATGTTGTTATAAATATCTACAAGATAAATTAGACTACATTCTTTGAAGAAAAAAACGAATAGAAATCAACAAAGTAAAATCTCTAATAAGAAGATAAATTGAAGGGTGTGGGTGAGGTTGAAGGCATGTGCATACATCAGATAAAGTGCGAGTAAATGTAGGTGTGGTATAAAGATAATATACACATCTATGCCCACACCAACTGATATATAGCTTTTTGTTTTACAACCTTTATATTTTTTGTTTTAACCAATCTAGATTTGTTTTATCTCTTTATTAATCAAATAAAAAACATGAGTTGACAATAAAAAAAACTACTTTAACATAAAAAAAAGTCTGACAAGTATTTTTTAAGCTTAAATACACGAATTCTTTTTTGATCATCATCATCCACTGGGTGACCGACGTGCAGGAGTAATTTTTAATTACATTTGTTTTTTTATAAATTATACCTTTACCATGACAGAATTCGGTTGTGCAATCCAGGTCGAGCAATCCGGTCCAGAAACGGTTGGTTTCTAACAATTCTGGAGATTTTATGGAGGCAATATTCCAGGGAACAGATCCCATCACAGGATTTATCTAGTTCCGGATGGAACTGACAGGATTCTGGCGAAAATAGCAGAGGGTGGATGTACGTGTGTGTGGATTCTCTATTCTACACACTTATACTTACATCCACACCCACATCCTTTTCTGATACTGGATCCAATATCATAGCAACAATTAATGAATCAATCAAGCATTCTGCAAATCTTGAACGATATTGCACAAGAGCAATTTAAATTTTTGCTTGATTTCGATTGATTATAACATTGATGTTGCGTTCGCCTGTTGTTTGTGGTGATTTTGTGTGTAAATTATATATCACGTTCACCCATTTGGTAATAGTCTGAATTTTTGATACCACCGACAATATACACAGATCTACGATAAGAAAAATATGTAATCAAAGAATAATCATGGTTAGCTATTTTTTCTTTTAATTGTGCTTATTAAAGATAAAAAAACGTTTTTTTATAGGTCAAAATGCATTCGTTTTAATCCTATTAGCCAAGGGTGTGGGTGTTCTTTTAATCGTACCCACGCCCAACTACATCCTTCTTTTTAAGCTCCTTATGAAAATCGTTCGAATGTGTGTCATCAACACTCTTTCGTCTTAGAAACAAAGTATTAACAGTACTAACAATATAATTGATTTTGTGGTATTTAATGAATTAACATGTGCAGCCACGCACATCAAACAATTTTTCATGCTTTCATCGCCCACTGGTTCTGGTAATGAGTTACGATGTTCTATAAAAATATTATTGTTATCTTTAAACAAAACAACAATAATGATACAGGTGCTAGCCCCAGTACTAGCTGAACGACCTGTATGCAAGTTATATTTATCCACATCGACGTTGGGAATGGTTTTCTTTGTAGTAGCGCAGGTGGCCATTAGTTTTATTTGACAATTAAAAAGAATATCGAAGAAGTGGCTAACTGTATATGTATAAATAAAGAAATATGAAATACACTTGTAATAATTTCAAGAGATCGAATATATACGTGATAATAGCAAATAGAGTACAGTTTTCTCTACCGAGTTAGACATCAATCAGACGAAAAAAAATAAGACGAACTAAAACTGAATTAACGACTATAATAGCCATTGTTACGTAAAAACGCCAATCATGTTGCTTAATTCACTTTTCTTTGTGTAATTGACTCTTTACGCTTTTAGCTTTTCTAGCAAAAGGATAACTATAAAA